ATTCATGGGCCATTGGATCGGGTCCCAGTGGCTCAATGGTCTACGAGCTCGCCTTGTAACCAGAAGGTCCTGGGTTCGAACCCCGATGGGTGCGTACTGATGAAGAGTCCCAAACTAGGACGAAACAGTTGTCTAGAACTCCCAGGCTTTCCATCGGCTGTCTAACCAATGTCAGCTCACGATGAACTCCTGTAACCATTGTATAATCAGTTGCTGTTTTAAATTTTGATCAGGTGTATTGAAGTTGCACAGAAATCCATCTGTTTTTAGCCTGGATATAGTTTCTTGGAGTGAATCTTCGACTTTTATTTTTGAAGTCGAACTTATGAAAACTGGGATGAGTGCAAGAACCAAAAAGCCAAATAAATTGAATTTTCTTCGACAGACTAATCAGAAGATAAAGCAGATAAATCAATAATTCCACCCGACAACTGACCAATTAGTACTAACTTTAATAAAAAGAGGTAGAAAGAATGCACCAGCTTTACCTTCTTGTGAAGGTCATCGAAGACTGACGATAACACCTCTGTGGTTGGAAACTTAACCCCAGGGGGAATACAAGGATCATGTTGAGCTGTAGATACTTACCATACTATCGAGATAGTGTACCTCTTTATGTCCCCTGCACCGTTTAATTGATTAAGATGGGAAGGCCCCCATGTAGTTAGAGAATCTCATTCGTATGATAGGTCAACCACAGGTACCAACCAGACTATGACTCAAGTACAGAAAAGACCTAATTTCGTGGCAGAGAGCTGTTATTCTTTCGTCAGGTCAGTGCTTTGAATAAATACATGCATAGTGACCTTGTCCAACAATCAAATCATCCAAAAATTCCTGAAGAACTAATGACCAATCAGTGTTCGGTCTGCAGAAAAGATGGGGAAAACAAAGTATAACCACCATAACATAAAAAACGGCATGAAACGGAAAAGTAATTTAGCCGTTTAGGCAAAGTGAAAACCACTTACAATTTTGTCTTACAAATCCCAATGGAACAGACCTTGTAGACTGGCAACATAGATACTGTGTTGATTTAATGTATAGCTAATTATAGCAATAATAGTGATGATGTTCAAAGCCAGACTGAATAGCTATCACAACACAGAGCTTCCAGCCAAATGTTTTAACTTACATCGAGGTGTATAGCCGAGTAAATTGCTACTGTCATCTCAGAGACGAGAACAAAATAATAATAAGACAGAGATAATCATAATACCAGGAAACAATATTCTCTTACCAGCGCAAGGCGTCGGTGGCACAGCGGTTAGGACGCTCACCGACCATGCACATAGTCCGGATTTCGAATCCCGGCCGACACACTCCTTTAACTCGTTCAGCCAGAAATAAAGCTGGTAAAGAGGAAAGGTTGGGCATGAGGCTAGCAACCCCATCCTGTAAAAATAAACACTGCAACAGAAACTCCAAGCTTCTAGCTTGAAGACCTATGTTCCACTGGGAACGTAAAGGAATATTTAAAAAAACGCATTTACAGTCACAATAATATTCATTGTGAGAAAACTAAGCTGACCTGAACTGCCAACTTAGAAATCTGCTCAAAAGTGTGCATCAATTCAACATGATACACCTCAGGGGGGGACAAACAACAAAACCATAACGGATAAAAATGTATGAAATGAAGACTAGTGGAGACTAAGAATTTAGATGACGAGAAGGAGTGAATAAATACATTTACGCCAATGTGAGTTAATCTGACAAAGACTGTACACCACCAAAGAACACTTTTTGATGTAGTAAATATCACGCCTTACTTAACTGAATTGCTTTTTACACACTGAATAAACATTGTAAATTTCAACAGATAATTGTTTACTTTGTATAGTGCACCCACCCGACATCAAAATGTAACTAAGACTAAAACAAATGGACTAAATAGAAATAGTCAGTGATGAACTAAATAAGCATCTAGCTCGAGTTCACAAGCCTTAAGTTCTATTTTAACAAGTGCACTCTTCCCCCGTGGTGGTAAACACACATACTATCAGAGCCTACGAATTACAAGTCTGGCTACTGACTGGAATCTTGTCATAATCCAGATTTACACTTCATCTTCAATCATACATCTTATTAGTAACAGGCTGCGAACCAAAGACTATTAATCTTCAAGAGTTGGTTTGTAAGGATTAAATTTGTTTTTACGAGTTTGCCCATGGATTGATGTCAGTTAGAGAACCATTGAAAACAAGGATTGGAGTACTGGACAGCTGTTTCATCCTGGCCCTGGGTACGAACCCCAGTGGGTGCGTGCTGCCGATGATTCCCAAACTAGTATGAAACAGCTATCCAGTACTCCAGTGCTGGTTTTCAATGGTTCTCTAACTGATATCAATCCATGGTCAAACTCGTAAAAACCAAACACTATGCCGGACAGCTTCGTCATGAAATAGTTAGTCATTCAAAGGAAAGAAATACACAGAATGGAAATACTGAAAGTATACATATATATATATATATGTATGTATATACGAGTATATAATCCTTTATGTTATAATATTTTTGCGGACTTTCAATTGCCAACTATTAATATCAGTTCTTGTAAAATAAATTGTGATAAAAACGGGAGTAACTTAAGTGAAGTAATTATAAAGTAATAATTTATATTATTTTTTTATACTTCATACACTAAAAAGTATACACTGGATGTATAATGTATAAGAAACAAATTGACTGGTGAATTTATCACGCTATATTTATTTACTCAAAAAGGCAGACTTAATATAGTATGAACACTAGGTAGTGAATGCTCAACAAGGTTTTTAGACTACAGATGTTTTTCTAACTGCAGTGAGGCGAGGTTGATGCCAGTAAGAAACCACTTTTTAAGTGTTGGCTAAACAGGTCAATTTCATCGTAAACTAGCATTAGTTAGAGAATCAACCATTGAAAACTAGTGGGCAATGGAAAGCTAATTCGGGTTGGTTTGGGACTCTGTTTGGCAGAGTGCATCAACGATTCCACTCAAAGATTGAAATGACTTTGGGTGGTGATAAAATCTACTTTGAAATAAGAAACCACGATGGATGGATAATTCAGAATAGAGGCTTCTAGATTAGTGGAAACGATCAACCTGCTGACATAAAATACCCCTCAACCAGTGAAATATATATATATATTTTCTGAACAACATTACTGCAAACAGTGTGCAAGTCTAAATACAAAGTGACTGAAATACCTCTGCGTGTTAGCGATGCTATGTGTTGCAGTTAGATTTCAATCACCTGGTGTTCACCTTTATTTTCTGACTATTTCTATCTTTAGTTAAAGAGTTACACGGAAAAATGTAGAGCTAAATAATGTATAAAACCAACACCAGATCTATACATACATAAATTATACATTTCAGGGTGAAAATTTACAACACTTTCCTTTGAAAGCCAAAGATGTTCAGATAACAATATGTGGTGTGTTTGATACTACCATAAATGACAATGAAGAGAACAAGCATCAGTGCACACTGTTATGTACCGGTGATTGACTGATTCATGTGTGAATAGTTGAACACTACCTACATCAACGAAAAATGTTTGGTAGAGCAAAGCTCATCAGTAGTGTGTGTAGCTGGACAGATCCAATTAAAAGATCCGAATCAATTCAAACCGTCATCAGTATAGATTGATTTGACTTCCACCTTTGATAGTGAGTAATGGAGATGACAAAATGTGCATAAGTTGTGTGCATCCTAAAGTTGTTAGAGATAAACCTAACGCTACTTTATCCAAATTGAAGTAAGTCACTGAATTACGTCTATCGTCGTATCGCATAAGTATTCTTTCGAAGGTTTAAACTTTATCTAACCAAATTCACAACCACTAAACGTAAAATACTCAAGATCAGATGGCCGGCCAGAAAAGATCAGCAACAGGGATCTCTGAGAACGAGCCAACCATGAACCAATTGTGCAAGAAATATGTAGGAAGAAATGGAGGTGGATTGCAGGCCATACTCTGAGAAAACAAACCATCAGGTGACATTACATACCAGGCACTCTCACGAGTGGAACCCGAATGCGAAACGGAGAGTTGGTGGTTCGACGGTGACATGGAGGAGGTCATGTAAAGAGGAGATGAAAGCATGTGGAGCCAGGTGAAAACTTTGGCAGAGAACTGAATACAATGGAGACGTGCGACTGAAACCTTATGTTCCTCTACGGATTAAAGGAAACAATAATAATAGTAGCAGACGTAAAATTCAACATGTAACCCAAGGTGTAACCTATAACCGACTGAAGCAGTTGAATTTAATTAACACCATGACATCATGACTAATCAGTCAGTACTCCCATAAAAAATGTAACACTTGACTTAGTAGATAAATGTAAATTAAAGAACGTATTGCACACTCATTGTTAAATGATACTAATACATGTCCAATTAGGTAACTAATATGTTAGCCGTAAGCTGCTCAAGTTCACACACATACACACTAAAATCAAGGTGAATAAATGAGCTATTTAGGTATATAGGTGAACACAGCTGCACTTGAAACACCCAGTTTCTTTCTTATTTCAGCATAAATTACATCGAACTTATAACCTATTAACTAATTAGTTAAACAAGGCAGTAAAACTGTTAATTTCGTTTCCTTGGTTATTTATTTTGAAAAAAAAGAAAGAATAGGAAGAACAATAAGTGATGATTAAAAAGCTAAAATCAACAAAATAAGAGCGTAAAAGTCAAAAAATATTTACTAAAGACTTGAATGTGCAACCGGTGGAATCACCAAGAATAGCAGTCAACTATTACGCAATAGGCGTGTACGTATTCGCGCGTGTGTGTCCCCGGTGGACAGAAGACACAAAAAATGAGAAAAAGATATGAAGGGCAAAGTTAACTAAACAGCACAAACTAAGTATACACTTAAATAAGTTAGTTAGTCAGTTAGTTAGTTAATTAATTAGTAAAGTCAGTTAGTTTAGCCATTTATTCACTTCAATCTTTATATATACGGTACACGTCTTAGTGAACCAGTGAAACAATTACCTTCATAGAAATTATTCCCCTGACAATACTTATTATTAATTCCTTCATACACAGATAGATCAGGAGTATTTAAACCACACGGCATACTAACACCGGATGTCATTAAACAATCTTGTGAGCTTAAAACACTACATTTTCTTGGCGGTGGACAAGGACGCATTAGACAGGTTGACTTTTTGTTTAAATTATACTGACTTAACGCTTGCATATGCTTTAAATGTAAAGGTTTCGGTTGTATCGGCGGTGGTGACAGACTCGGTGATGGAGGCACAGGTTGATTGTTAGTAAAACACGGCGAATTCATCGCTGAATAATGATGTGGCATACAAGTATTATTCACTGACTGTTGATCAATCAGATTTACTGACATTTCTTTGACACTGGATTCCGATGAGGCAGGACAAACTGAGAGAGAATTACACAGAGAATATCTACTGGTGTTTGTCAGACCATCGTTAGATAGTAATCTTTGAGAAAAGAATGATTGAGGTGTGAAGAAATCACTTCGTTGGGCACAAGTTGAATTCACATATGACACATTATTATTATTACTGTCATTATTATTGTTATTACTATAGTCACTATGATGAATACGATCATCATCTTCAATTTCATTTAGTGTACAACAACTGTCAAAACTGTTTCCTCCTGGTTTGCATAAAACACGATTAGATAATCCTGTCTTATTCATAGAATTACAATAATTAGCACGATTTCGTTGACTAGCTGATGTTAATGCCCTTGGCAATAGACAATAATTCGGCATTGTTGTACTCTGAACTAAATGATCATGTACATATTTAGAGACGATTTTATTTATTGTACTACTATAGTCTACTGAACTAGACTCTGTTTAAAAGTGTACAATAATCAGTGAATTGTTTACAAAAAAAAGATGGATAGGAAGAAGAAACGCAGCGTGGGGGAGAGAGAGAGAGAGCAGAAAGCAAAGGGAATCACAGCAACGTATATATATATGTATATATATTAAGATAAACCCGTGTTTGTGGATATACACATTTGCATATTAATCATGAAAAGGCACCAACAACAAAAAACGGGATAAAATTTATAAAAACACACACCCACACACACAAACAAACAAACCGAATCACAGCAACAAAAAAGCGGGAAAAGAGAAGCGGAAAGAAAAAATACGGATTAAGACAATAAGATCAAAAGTGCAATGATTATTAATTGAGGAAATTTTTTACAGCATTATATCATAATACATATTTACCAATCAGAAGGCAATGGAGCAGTTTGAACGCAGATATCATCATAACAAATATAATAATAATATGGGATGAAAGCATCGATAATGTTGAAGTGTGGTAGCAAGTTACTTGACCAATTTAATTTACAAGCCTTACTCACTCCTCATCTCCAATTATAGCTTGATTGGGTTCGAAACCCCAATTCGTACTACTTCGACCTGATCAACTGGATGATATCATTTCTAAAGCACAACAAAAGACGTCAGTTACCCCCCTCGGACATCACGAAAAAGTTCTTCAGTATGGTTGAGAAAACGAATGCGGTTCACTATTTTAAGCAGCATTCAGATACTAGACAGTAATTCCTATTCAGCCATTGAAATTTCCGAGGAGCAGGTGATATTACTAGGATCCGCAACACATATATCAATTCATGTCTAGCTGGATGCAAGAACAGCACTGGTTGGGGTCCACAGGACATTAAGAACTGATTGTTATATATTTTCCATTGGAAGACTGGAAATCATTCACATTTCAATGCCTGAATTAGTCTTTTTTTATAACTTAATTATTCCCATCATCATCACACTCTGTTTTAGCATCATTCTGTTCCAGTTTCCTTATTTTATGTGCTGATGGAGTAATGTGAAAATTTGAACCGATTCACTTCTTGTGCTAACTTCTGTGTTAATCCATTGATCAATTCTCAGTAACTTCCGCTGAAAAAATTTCTCCCCTGAATTATTTATTTTATAGTGTAATGTATCTGTATATGCGCGTCAGTGGTTCAATGCTACGATGCTCGCTAGCCACACATGTGGTCCGGGTTCGATTTCCGAACGAGGCACTACTAAACCTCACCCAGTTTATTATCCGATAGTGAGGCTGGAAAATAGGGAAGGTTGGTGATGAGGCTAGCAACCCCACTCCATAAAACCAACACTGTTACTAGAACTTCAAAGCTCAATTCTGAAGCCATGTTCCACTCACAGAGCAAGGAATATATATATATATATGTATATATATGTATATATATATATATATATATAAGACACTAAGAAGAAAACTTGCCTGGTAGCATTTGATCAAGTTCTTCCATTTCCATACTGAATGGATCTGCTCCATTTGTTTGATGACAAGACGACATATTACCAACAGCCCCAGAAGCAACTGAAGTACTCCCAGAGATTGAAACACCATCCAATTGGTGCTTTGAACTAAAACATGAACTAGATAGGCTAGTATTACTGGACAATTTATCCACTTTAGATTGTAGTAGTAAGCCCGACGGATTAGCATATTTCTCTTCACCACGTGATTGACTTAATTCAGAATCATTCAGATTAAGTTTATTCAGACTACCTGTAACTGACCAATTACCATTATTGTTACTAGTAGGTGTAGCAGTAGTAGCATTATTAATTTGTTGTTGACCACTATGCATAACTTGATTTTGTGATGTACTTGTTGGAGTAGAATTAGGATGCGCTAGCTGATGCGGGAAATGATGACAATTAGTCTTTAGATCACTTTTAACATATTGAAGTCTTTCCAAGGTGTTGTCAACATTTTCATAAGAATGAACAATAGGCAATTGTGACATAGAGAATTTCCGTTGAGCTGCATGCGTCAGTTGGGTAAGATTTGTATAGACTGGTGGCGGTACAGCTTGTTTTGGATAGAGTACAGCTGACGAGTCGACACCACTGTCCTTAGATGAAGCTTTTCCAACTTTAAAGATTAAAACACAAAAATGTAAACAGACAACTACAACAACAACAAAATATAGAATAAACAAAGTGGAAAAACACCAAAACATATTCGAAAATAAAGATGCATATTTAGAGTAGTGGCCGATAAATCAAAATCAACCGAAACAGTTTTATCCAGAATATCTATCATGTGCTTTAAGTCAAATTACAAGTGGCGCCTTGTTTACAAGCGGTTGTAAAGAATTAAAATGCAAACCACAATGAAAGCCTGAATGTGGTTACTAAAGGATCTACAGAGAGTCTAAAGAATCATTTAGATAGGATTCGATTTCTGTTTTAATGTAACTCACAGTTATGTAATAAGGCCAACTGAAATAGTAAACGATAGCACCATCCACGGTTAAGAGGCAGTCATTGAACCGAAATCCCGTGAAGAAGTTTCTCGAAATTATTGTGACTTGTTGTATAGCACGGTTATCATCCAACTATGTTGATTGATTACTATGCACAGGTCCAGTTGTGTTGACCACATAAGTTAGAGACATATTGGCTTTTCCGGCTGATGGCTGCTACCTTGATGTGGTAGTCAGGCTTGCATGTCGCAATGATCCAATGAGATATACTGTCTGGAAGTAATTTTACTGCATGTCCTACAATGCCAGAGGGGTCGTTTGGATATTGGTCAGACTAAAAGCAATTACCGTCATAGTGTGAATTGTTTGCACTATGTCGAGGGTGTGTGGGTGGGGCCATACTGCTGGCAGTAGTGTTCCCCTCAGATGAGCAGTAAGCGAGATATACTTCCCCCTCCCTCTGTAGGTTAGGAAAGGTTTATCCTGGAAATTGTATATCCTAACTTACATTGCAGCTGCCCATAGCCAGCGAAGAGGCCTTAGTACGGACACAACTCCAATAACTACTTGAAACATACCATGTCTGACCGGGCTCAAGAGGCTGTCCCCTGGGCTCGAGAGTCATTCAAAACTAACGCTCCTTCTGTTTTAGGCACTCTAGGAAGGAATCAGTTTTCACGGTGTGGGTAGCCGGAGGTAATAATCACCAGTACACTTCCGTCAGTACTCAGAACTTTCTTGATCATCGCCCCCTCCCCCGCCACATAAGCCGTTACATTTGAGCGAAACACTTTGGGAATACCATCTTCAAATAGTCATCAAAGAGCACTGCATTATTATTTAACTGAAAGGACTATTGTCACAAGGTGGCAGCACAAGCACGTATTGAAATATTTCCACAATTTTGATAATAAAAATTAAGCATTATCAGACATTAGAATAACTATCCCAAAATCCCTTATGGGAAAAAAGCAAAAATTTGGTCAGTCATCTCCTTTGTACGAATCTTCCCACAGCCCACTGCATATATTATATTGTGACGATGAGCATTATGCTGTTTGATACTTCACAGCTTCCGTCACCATAAAACATAGTTAACAATATAATTGGGTATGACTGCATCCGTTATTCTCGCTAATGAGTAGCGAACACATTGAGTTGCCCTGAAATGTTATCTAACCCAAAAACAGACCACAGAGTAAACCTCTTTCAATGACTGTAGTAGTATTAGTCAAAATTGCTCCAACAATCATAGATTGTAATATCTAGTAACCTGTTATAAAACTTTTCTTGAAAAAATACATGCATTTTATTCATTTCCACTTTATCATGCTATTTTAAAGTGTATAGAAAATAAGATTCGCCAGGGTTCGTTTGATGCCCCGCAGAATTGAAGGTAACATCAATCACAAATAATCGACAACAATTGAATAAGTTATCTGTTGAACAAAATCAACCCCAACTAATAATCTGGTTTTCCTCTGAAATGAAAATCACTAGAACAGTATAGTTTCAACTACAAATGGTATAGATGAGGACGGCTAAGCGAGGATCAAAAATGAAACAGATACCTTCATTAGGCTGAAATCAGTGTGGATATCTGCTGTGCACAGAATAAAGAACAAGATTTGCATTTTCGACACTAGTATTAAGTCAGTGCTTCTTTAGATATCATCTTACAGTTTAGACACGTTATCAGGACATTTTCAACGGGTTTCTATAAGTTATCATCAACAAGTGCCTTCGGCTCCATACCGAAGATCAGACAGCCTATTAGAAAGGATCAGGGACAAAGAACTTTAGGAACAAACCAACGAGGAAATTATTATCCAACAAATATGCAGAAGATAGATCGGGCATACGCTAAGGTGAGATCGTTGATTCACATCACACGATATGTCCTCGAGTGGAATCCCAATGGGAAACGACGAGTCGGGCATCAGAGGATGATGACATGGACGAGATCATGGGAAGAAGAGATGAAAGCTTATGGAAATAGTGGAGCAGGTATAAAGGACTGTGGAGAACAAAGTGAAGGAACGATGTGCTGCTGAAGCCCTATGTCCCACTCGGAACCCAAGAGAATAATAATAGCTACCGTTGATATATATATATATGCTTGGGCTCAATTTTCTCCCAAACAGTAATGACAGCACACTTGATTACTGCATGACTTTCTTTAAAAAGTTACCACTTACCAGGTGGATTGAAAGACAAAGCAGTTATAGAAGCACGTGTAGGCGCATGACATCCACGTTCGTATGCAGAACTAATTGTATGCCGTCCATTGCTTGGTACTGAAGGATCGCCACTACCACCACCCCCAGGACCACTTGTATTAGGTGTATAATTATCCAATGAGTACTGCTGACTCAAATTACTCGACAAGACAGATGTGGATTCGTCAGGTAAATGCGTCGTTTTACCGACAACTTCGACATATTCTCCTCCATCTTCCCCACCGGCATTGCCATCATCTTCCTCCTCCTCCTCCGCATCGTCATCACTGCCACCACCATTACTGTCATCATGATCCAGACAAGAGTGAGTTTCGATTACATCTTCATTCTTCATTTTATGTTCTGCATCATTATTCACTGGACAACTCTTACCATTCGTAGTTATACTTTCAGGTATTTCAGTTTGCGGATTAAAAGCAATCATTGATTTCGCTATCATACAATCTGCTCTGTCATAACGGAAACCATTTTTTACATGTTTTGGAAAATCACTATCTCCATTGCTTGCAGCACGACAATGACCTGGTCTACACAAAGTTTTGAACTGATTCTCCTCCTTTACATAGAAAAAAGAGAGAAAGAAAGAAAGAAAGAAGCATTAAAACAACTATACAATTATACGAAAGTAACAGAAGAGGCTTGTAGTGATACGCTCATCATTTTTTTTCCTTCACGTTCCCCAGTGGAACATAGGGCTTCAAGCTAGTTGGCTTGAAGTTTCTGTAGCAGTGTTTATTTTACAGGATGGGGTTGCTAGCCTCATGCCCAACCTTCCCTCTTCACCAGCGTTGTTTCTGGCTTAGCGAGGTAAAGGAGTGCGTCGGCTAGGGATCGAACCCCGGACCATGTGCATGGTCGGCGAGTGTCCTAACCGCTATGCCACCGACGCACACGCTCATCATTGCTTGATTTCAAATCGTCAGTGGTCCAATAGTGGTAGAATACCACCCGTCATCCACGGACGTGTGGTCCCAGGGTTCGATCATCGGCTGATGCACACATCTGAGCCTCACTTAGCCTGTAGTAAGTCTGGTGAAGAGAGAAGGTTGGACGTGGAGCTAGCCAACCCACCCTGTAAAGAAATAAAAACACTACTTCTACTGAAACTTCAAAACTGAAGTCTTCAGCCCCCCCTGTGTTCCACTCGGAATGCGTAGGAATAAAATGAAAAATGATATTAATTAATTCACCACGAATTAACATCAATTTCATCTACAATGACAAAAACAAAAGATGAATTTTATCGAATAACAGTTAGACAACTTTTTTCCCTTTGAATTAAAAATCACATCCCCATTATATAATGGATAGTGATAATCTGAGTCACGGTAGGACTCGAATCACGGGGCTCTGAATTACTAGTGTTGCGCCCTATCAGATGAGCTATGCGACTCAACTGCTAAACAAGTTATCATTTCATTGCAATCACCAGGTGACTTTGGTGGTACAGACCAACAGTTAGAATCCAGCTGTGACATACACCTTTAATTCATCTTCAATCACCCATCCACCACACATCACATCAATAAAAGTCTGTCACAACACCTAAGACTACCTCAAATAGTCTCGCCATCAATTAAGCCTCATTACATTGAAAAATACTTCAGGTCAACAGCTGACTGGTACACCTGAGGTAAATTTAAATATCAGATGAATAGAACCACTTTCCAATTATTTATCAGTGTCGAATAGGAAAAAACTCGCATCCTGGATTTCATTAACCAGCCACCGCCACAAACATATAAGTAACTTCATATTAGAACTAACAGTGATATCTAGGCATCTTCACAAGGCAGTCGTCCATGCGCTGAAATGATGCCAGCAAATTCAGTCCAGAAGAAAAAGGTAAGACGAATAAAGAGTACGACAAAGATCAAAATACAATACATAAATGCCATTAATTCCAAGTCAAATCACTTGAAATCCCCAACAACAGGCGACTTTATAAAATGATCGCTCAATAAACAAAATTACAAAGCTCAGTTCCGATTAAACTATTATTGTCATTATTTTAGCATTGATCACGTATTGATGACAGTTAGAGAACCACTGAAAACCAGGAAGTAATGGACAGTCGTTTCATCCTATTTTGAAACTCTTCACCAATACACACACACAGGACCTTAAGGTTACGAGGTGAGCTCGCTGACCATTCAGCCACTGGGATTGAATGCAATAGCCCATCAGTCCTAACTACTGTCAATTCGCGACCTAAATGACCTGGATTTGATCCCCAACGGGGTCATGAGGGCGTACTGCTGAAGAGTCTCCAAACAGGATGAAACAGCTTCACAATACTCACTGGTTTTCAGTGCTTCTCTAACTGATATCAATCCGTGATCAATTCTGAAAGAAATCAGATCCTTACAAACTAAATCTTGAATATTATTACTGTTGTTAGAAAAAATTGCATAAGTTAAACTTAGATGCCACGGAAAGAAAAGTATACATAGTTGAAGGAGCCCAACGGACTATTTATTTATTTATTTTTTTGATTACAGCTTGATTCCACACCGTATTTTTTGGTACAGGTATGGAATTTTCAGCATGTGTTATCGGTAGCCCAAATTTAACAGGCCGACCATAGATGTCAGGTGTGCGTCGGCAGGGGATCGAACCCCGGACCATGTGCATGGTCGGCGAGAGTCCTAACCACTGTGCCACCGACGCACAATGATCCGCTTTCATATATTAACCAAATACTAAGATGATCATGACTGAATATACACTGTTGTAAGGTTTTCTATATACTACTTAATTGTCTAACTGATTAAAGACTACTATCACAGGTGTCCACATAAAGGGACTGTGTATTCGCTGGAGCAGGAAAATCTCCAGTGTAAACACGATTCCATGGTTTTTATATAATGTCAATAAAAAAAAGATGAGAGATAAAAACAAAACCCAACACAATTCCCTTGATGATGACGATTATCAGTGGGGTTTAGAGATTTAGACAAAATACGCTCCCAACGATGAAGCTACACGTACACACGCACACGCACACATACAACATGTGACATACAAGTGGTAAAATGCGCAAGACACAGTCGGTTGCTAATCGATAGATTTCATGTTATAATCCATCTTCAGACAGAGCAAACATAAAACAGAACTAAGCATATAAGATGTAGGAAACAAAAGAACTATACTATATTGTGTTTGTATGCAATATTATTTATGCGTGTGTATGTGTATGAGTTACATTACAATTGGTATTGATGAGTTTTCCTGTCAATATATGCGACAGAAAAAGATAGTTGAATTCAATACACACAGAGAGAACAATCAACCAGTTATACAAAGGTGAATATGCATACACGCAAGTAGATGAATGTGAATACTGATTGAATGGATAGATGAATAATGTCAAATTTGTCTTTTGAAAGTTAGGGGGAAAAAAAGCATATCTACTATACCCAACACAAAAAAACGAGGATGAAAATAGTCCGGTGAAACAAAATAATATTATGAAGGTATATTTAATTATTGACATTAATTAAAGAGAACCATTTCATAAAAAAAGAACGTTACGTTTAATTTTGGGGAAACCGACAAGTTAGCGGAAGACGCAGCAAACACAGGACTTTAAGTGAACATAGAGGTGAAGAACATACTTACTGACCGACAACAACAACAATTCACTATCAATGGGATGTCACTTCCTTCACTTACCTAGGAAGCATTGTGTCAACTACAGGCACGCCGAATAGATCTGCCTACACTTAAAATAAACAACAAAATCAGGATATTCAACGCCAATGTTAAGTCAGTTCTTTTATATGGGTCAGAAACTTGGTGCGTCACGGAAAACATTTGCCAACACAGACTACTACAGACTTTTAACAACAGCTGCTTCCTTTGACTGCATACTCAATATCAGATGTCCGGCCAGGACGGACGGATTAGTGACAAGAAACTCTACTAACGAACAAATCAAGAACCTACTACTGCTCAGCAAATATGTAGAAGAAAAAAGGAGATGGACCACCAAACAGGCGCCAAGAAAACCGTGGGTTCGAGGTCAACATGGAGGAGACAAGAGATTATGAACAGTCGTGGGGCCGGTTAAACAGGACTGCAGAGAACATGGTGAAATGGAGATTTGCTATTGAAGCCCTATGTTCCACACTCGGGACCCACTTTATCGATTCACGAGAAGGTCAACCTAGAAATTCATTAAATTCTCACACATGAATATCACTCCATTGCTTATTAATCATTAAGAGAATTTGTGAACTAGCAGGTTTACGGATGACTTCAGATGATCATCACATTTTGGTAATTTGAACTGGTGCACTTCCGCGTAAAGTTCTGTATTGAAACTCAGTCAGTCAGACAATATGTGTTGGTTGTGAAAATATGAAATGCGGTGTTACTGCATTCCAACCGGTAGCTGAATGTTGATGTGTGATATAAACTATTATTATTGTTTTCTTTAATTCCTAGAGGAACATAGGGATTCAACAGTGCGTCTCCATTGCGTTCGGTTCTCTGCTAGAGTCTTCACCTGGCTCCAAGTCTGCCCACACGTTTTCATCTCCTCTTCACATGACCCCTCCAAGTCACCCTCACACTGACGACCACCTCGCCGCTTCCCTTTCGAGTTCCACTCGAGCAATGGCTTGTCTAGTGATGTCACTCACTTGATGATTTCCTCAGAGTATGGTTAATCCATCTCCATTTCTTTCTGCCTATTTGTTTCACAATCGGTTCCTGGTTGGTTCGCTCCCAGAGATCCCTGTTGCTGATCTTTTCTGGCCATCTGATCTTGAGTATTGAGCGAAGACAACTGTTAATGAAGGTCTGTAGTATAAACTATTGAAGGGTTTTAAATACGTTTTATATACGAAGCCCAAAAATACGTACTTTATCCACTACTACAATAGCTACTTCCTGTTTGCTGCTTTCGGTAGATTACTGAAGCCTGAACACATCCATTACTTGGTTTATAAAACTCTCTCAGTATACGGGATCGCTGATTATACGCCTAGTCAATGCTCATAGACCCACCTTGGTAATATTTAACGCTGGATTGACCATAACTCTTTTCAGTTTAACTCAAGTCTAAAGAAATCTCATTGTACGGCGAAAGGTGAATAGAACCCGGTGTTCCACTCTAAATGCTCTCAATGCCTCCGATGGAGAAGTTTTTATCGCTTCCTTAGCAAGGCGAGAAAGTGAAAATGTGAATACAACTGCTCCGTGCTCGTCATCAGAGAAGTGATGGTCCGGGATTCGATTCCCACCCGATGAACTACTAGACCTAGCATAGTTTATCCGAGAGTGAACCCTCGAAAGAGGGAGGACTGGGTGTGAAGGATAGCAGCACCTCCCCACAGAAACAACACCACTGCTGAAATTTCAAAAAGCTTGCAGCCCTATGTTCCTCTCTATGGACGCAAGGCAATGAGGGAACTCAATCGAGTTTGGGGAGTGATTTAAAAGACGTACTTACAACTTGAAAATGACACAGTCACTGTTAAAATGGCAGCAAGCATTAAAAAAAATCAAAAAGCATCATACTTCCTAGAAAATATCCACATGACATTTCGC